AAATAATAAACAAGCCCTAATTTCATATTAAAGCTCTATTTATTATTGATTATATTTTGCCAATTAAATTAGGGTTTTTTCTTATGCAATTTTCATTATTAATTATAATTAGGACTCACGTAAATAATTTATTGTTATAGAATACAAATGCAAATTAAATATATTGTATTACATATAAAGCCTCTGCCTGCTATCTGCTAGCAGCATCTGCACTTTTCCATGCCCATTTGCAAATTTATATGAATATTTTATATCATCAGCAGGAGGAGCATAGTTAATAATCACAAAGTGCTCTATACAATTCACTTGATTTTCCAATACAGTTAAAAGCATTTTCAGATCGATTACATTTTCAGCTTTAATATGTGTGAAATTACGCAAATTGCGTCAATGTTTTAAGTGCAAAATCATTTTGTGCATTTAAAACACACACACACATACACACACAAAATTGTCCAAAATAAAATGGGCGTGGGCGGAAGCAGGTGGAGTGCGCTTCCAGAGTTGGCGCAGCAGCCAACTTGTCATTCATCAAACTTTTTCAATAAAACTTTTGCGCTGCTCATCGCTGGCCAAAAAAAAAAAAAAAAAAAAAAAAAAAACGCGGCCAAAACCAAACGGAGCTGCAAATCCGGCGCTCATTTCGCTGTAGCCAAAAGTCAAAATCTGATCCTGTTGGCCAAGTGAATTGAAACTTGTCTAGATTGAGCTGGAGCCACGTTCATGTGAATGAGAAGCTGTGGCTGTCCTTTCAGCGACTCTGATTGGATTGAGTCTATGCAAAAGTTTTTCGCAAATCCGTTGAATGTCAGACCCCGCGTGCTTCAATTCCATATCTGTCTGAGAGCGAGGTCGCCTGCCAGACATCTCCACTCCTGCCAATAAACAATTTACCTGATATTTTTGCTGACCTTTCAGCCAAAGCTGCATTCAAGCCACGTGAGTTCAGCTTGGGCGTAAGCCAAAATTCTTTGGGCTATTACTTGGCTAAAGGTAATATCATAGATAACTGATAATACCTAGTACGATATACTGTAGAATGTTGTTCGTATTGTATCACTTGGCTTAACAGAACCTTTCTGAAATCATAAAAGAATATAAGCAAAATCGATGATGTATTCGATATTATAAGAGAGCCTGAAGCTCTCGGCTATTATAGAAAGATCTAACCTAAGCCGATAATTATTAAATTTTTATCGAATAGACTAGAAAGCAAGAGTTAAAGGGTTTTATTATATGATACCCTGTAAAGCTGCATTTGTTGACTTGTGTTAAGCTTAACAGAGCCCGAATTGAAACAAGGAAATATCACAGAAGAGTCGATGATTTTATATTTGTTATCGATAGACTGTAAATCGAGAGTTAAAAGATTGTATGATATAATACCCAGTAATTATGTATTATATAACTTCAGTTAAGCTTAACAGAGCCTATATTGTCATTTTCTCTCATCATAGCAGAATCTAACCTAAGTCGATAAATATTAATTTGTTATCGAATGGACTATGAATGATTTCAGTGAATGTTAGACAAAAGAGAGAAAGCAACAGACAGTTTGTCCGTGAACAAAGCTGAGTTAATAACAAATTGAGACCAGTTAGTGGCAATGGCACAGATCGGGTTGATCAGGCGAGGGGGTAGCGCATGGGCAAGGGATACGAATCGCTTACGCTTGGAGATGCAGCCCCAGGCCACGAGCAGCTCGATCAAAGCTATACAAGTTCCATGGAAAAAGTAAAGAGATAGAGAGAGAGAGAAAGAAAAGATAACGTTGGCACAAAACTCAAGATCAAAAGAATGTTGTTGTTGTTGGGTCGGGTTATACAAGTACGACATAGTTGGCTCCACTGTGCTTACCATTCTGTGCGTCGCTGCCCTGGAACAGGTTGCGCAGATAGCTGATCAGGCGTCGGTGCAGTGGCCGATGGCGATGGCGCGAGGACTTGCGCAGCGAGGAGGATGACTCCTGGCCACCGTCGCCCTGCTCAACGTCGTCCACGTCGGCCGCCTCCTTGCCGCATTGCGTGGCATCCACAATGATCTCAATGCTGCGCTGTGTGCTGGACTTTTTGAGAACGACGCCACCGGTGCCGGCAGCAGTGCCACCAACACCACCGCCACCACCGCCCCCGCTGTTGAATGCCGCCAGGGCGCTGCTGCTGCTGCCAGCTCCCGCGCTGGTGGCAATCGTGCCGATGAGCGCATCCGTCGCCAGGTTGCCCGTGCCCGCGATGCTGCTCACGACATTCTCGCGCGAACTGTGCGCCGGCTGGTGTTGTATGATGCGGCCGTGTTGGCCCATGTTGCTGGGCAGCTGGCGTCCCGCCTGTCCCCCGCCGCCACCGCCGCCGCTGGGCAGCTCGTTCACTGTGCCATTGCTGTGACTGCCCCGATATATGAGCTCCGTTTCGTTGGACACCTGGCGCAGGGCATGCAGTCCCAGGCCCGTATGTGAGGCGCTGCTGGCCATGCCGCCAGCCCCAGAGGCTGACCCACCACCACCACCACCGCCAGCAGAGCCGCCGCTGCCATTGAGCCCCGTGTAGTAGGCGCTGTTCGGACGTTGCGTATGCTGCACCTGTGGCCCGGCCATTGCGCACTCCTCGCTCGTCGCAGCGGTTCTTTGGGGCGGGTCGGCGGCTGACTGATTGGGCGGTTGAGCGGTTGAGCGGGTGAGCGGATGAGCGGTTGGCCGCGTCTCTAGTTACGTGTTAAGCGCCTGTCGTTTCGGGTTAGTAGTTTTAGTTGCATTGCGTTCATTTTTAGTTAATTACATTTTGCCCCACTGTGCGCTGGCCTCTCTCTTAGCTTAGACTCTGGCTGGGATTAGGCGTTAGTTTTAGCTCTTGCGCCTAGCAGTCGACAGTCGCTGCAGTCTTAACTTTAAATTCTCAACATCTGCACGGTGCCAAAGCAGTGACAGCAATTGGGAGAGAGAGAGAGAGAGAGAGAAAGACAAAATATCAGAAGCTTGTTAATCAAAATTAATATTATTCAGTTAGTTAACAATTTACAGCCCGCAGTAATGCATATTGTAGAACGTCGGTGTGTGTGCGTGTGTGAGGGTGTGCAGGTGTGTGTGCTCGAGTGTCTTGAAATTGCATTTACATATTCAACTATTCAACTATAGCACTGCTATATAATTATTCATTTCATTTAGTTTAGTCAATGTAAACATCAAGTGAGAAAAAAAGATAAAGATAAAGATTGATATAATATAT